ATCCCGGAGGAGAACTTGGAGGGCTGGAGGCAGTGGTCACTCAAGCCAGCGCTTGCCAGTCCCAGTGGCTGAAGCTCTGGGCACCCTGTGCTGGGCCCCGAGTGTCTCCACCACCCCTCTGTGGCCTTTGTCCTTCCCATTCGTATTTATTTATTTATTGACTTTTACGAGGTTTCCCTTCCATCTAATCCCTATCACCCATGTTGTCCTGACCACCCCCCCACCCCAGCCATCCAGCTGTCTGTGCAGCTGTCTGTCTGTCTGTCACGAGGAAAATAAAAACGACAAGCAGCAGGGACTGTGTGTGATCTATGGAGTGGGGTGGCTGGGGGTGCAGCGGCCAGCATTTTAGACCCCCTGGGCCAGTGGAATAAGGCCGAGGAATAACAATTAGCACCTTCGGTCCCTTCTTCCTTCCCTGGCCCTCCTGGTCTGTGACTTCTCCTGGTAGGGCCACTGAAACTGCCTCCCTGCGTGCACCCCCAAGCCAGACTCTGGTGCTCTTCCTCTTCCACATTCCCTCATCACAGCTTAGAAGATGCTGGCTCTGGAATGGGGCCTCCCACAGCCCAGTCCTGGCTCAGCACCCCCGTCACTCGGCCCGGGTGTCAGGCAGCTCATGGTGACCCCTGGAGCAGAGAGGTCCTCACTATGATTAGTGAGAACAGGTGGTGTGAGGAGCCGCAAGGAGAGGCCCTCACCCAGGCTCGGTGTCAGAGCATTATGGAGGCACTTGGGCACCATGCACCAGGAGTGCTCTGGTCAGCGTGTCTGGTGATGGAGACAGACACGAGCATTTTCTTAGGGACTAGAGACTTCTATCCCCATGGCAAGCAGTGGGGGCTGCTGTGTGCTGAGGCGCTTGACTCTAGCCGCTCTGCTGCCATGCCACAGAGCGGGCCCTGGGTCCTAAAACTGAGTGGCCTTTCCTGAGGTGGGGGCAGGAGGAAGCCAGTTCTCCTTGTGTCCAGAGAGGGACTGCACCCCTCTCCCCATCTTGAAACTGTTCTTGGCAAAGTGAAAGGAGTAAAGCCTCCCGCTAGGAGCCGAGAGCTGGCGCTGGTGTGTGCTGATTGAGGTGGAGGGCGCCTTGGCTGGAGTCCAAACAGCCCTTCGCCCAGCCCAGTCCAGCCTCTCCAGCTTCTCAGGACCCCCCAGGGAAGAGGTAAGCCCCATCATCATAAAATAACAGGCTGTTAAAGCCAGCTGGAAGGAACCAGAGAGATGCCTTGCCCACCTGTCATTTTAGCGATGAAGATCTACAGTTTGCCTGTGAGAATCTCTAATCCCCTTCTCACTGCAAGTGTTTTCATATAAAAATGAGGTGCCTGAACTCATATCTTGATAAATGGTAAAATTCCTCTGCTGTTCCCCCTTGGATCTTGAGCTCCCTTCGCATCTCCATTGGAAATGGCGTGTGAACTGCCTGTGCCAAACCCGGAGGAGCACAGGTAATTTACGGCAGCAGAGCTGTGTCAAAATTGCTCTGATCAAAAGGTGACCGCGCGCCACACCTGAGCGGGCAGTTAGCACGACTGCAAGAAATGCTTCCTACCTGGAGCCCCGCCTGGACAGACTGGACTCCAGGCAAGCCCAGAGGGGTTCACTGACCCCCTTCAGATCCCTGCAGGTGAGCTGATGCTCCTACAGACTCCTTTTTGCCCCCAACAGGGACTTGGACAGACCTAGATTTGGGGAGTCAGTTAGTGGCAATCCCCAGGGACAATGCAACCCACCAGATTTACGGGGTCACGGGGGGGGGGGGGGGGGGGAGTGTGAATGGGGGTGGGGACAGGAGGGAAAGCTATTCTCAAAAACTCTTTCGTGTCCCAAGTTTGCCTCAGTTTACCGCCAGGGGGCACAGTGAGGAAAACACAACCGGAGACTCCGGAGGGGGGGCACGGGGAGGTGGGGGAGGCACTTCCAGATTGGTCCTGTCAGCACCTGGCACTCTCATCATTGGCTGCATGGACAGTGAAGTCACAGATACTCTCCCTCATTCAGATACTCACGCCCTTTACCTGATGGCATCTGGACAAGGGCGTGATTTCCAACTGTCCAGAGACTGACTCAAGTGTAAACCTGTCCCATTAGGGAACTGGAGCTGAATTTCTTGTCACCTGGAGCCATGTCCTGCGGGAGTGGATCCTCTCTGCCCTGAAAGGGGCTGGGACTGTGTCTGGCTGTCCAGGCACTGACATGTGATGTACCCCAGAGCCACTCAGTTTTCCCCCCTGGCCTGTCTCATAGGCTGAGCCAGCATCCCGGGTGTCCTCAGGCTGAATAAGGAGTCTGCTTGGGGCAGGGGGTGGGGGCTGAGGCCCCAGAGGATTTGGGGCAACCACATCAAACAAGGCAAGAAGGGGAGAGATGTATAAAACGAGGGCCCAGGGCTGAGTACCTGCCTCGCCCCTACTGTGTCAGTTGGAAGGTCTTGCCGCCTGCTACCCAGCTTGGCCTCCCAAGTCCTGAAGTTGACGCCCCGCCCCCACCATGATGAGTCTGGATCCTCAGATCAACCCCAGACACTCCCACCCTGGGATGTTCTGAGTCTGCAGGGAAAAGTCTGAAGCCAGAGTTTCTGTGTCCGCTTAGACTCATGTTTGCTTCCCCCTCCCCAGATGTCTAAATCAGGTCCCACCAGAAAAACCTTCTGCTCCACCTCCAGGATGCACTCTGGAAATCGACGACTCCCAGGTCCAGAGTGCTGCTACTCACATCCAGTCCTCTCACAGGGGCCACAGGTGAGGGAGAGGCCAGAAGCCCTGGGAAGGAGGAGGCTCCTGCGTGGGGAGTTGAGGGGGGAAGGAGAGGCTGAGCACAGTACCATGGAGGGCTGGAGTCACTGGGGAGCGCAGTTACTGCGGTGTTGAAGGGTGCAAGACAGGAGTAGATCATTTTATCTGGGTAACAGTCCAGGAGGAGAAGTTCTCCCTACCCCACCTCCTGCAAGGGTTTAGTAGGCCGAGGGGGCAGAGGGGAAAGTGTGAGGGTGGACAGGGTTACAGGCAAAAGCATCATTGGGGAGCCCTGGGCCCTGACCCAGCCCATGGGTAGGTCCCCAAAGGAGCTGGGAGAGAAGAGGCCGCAGTGAGAGCTGGAGCTGCTAAACAACGTGCTGATGGAGGGCAGCATAACTAAGCTGACTTGCCGCATCTCGGCTTTCCCGGACACACCCCTGCTGAAGCAAGGATGCATGGAGCTGCACAAGGGGCCCTAGTATCGCTGCGTCCTTGAGGGAGGATATAGTGGCACTGGTGGTGTGTGATGGAGAGCTGGCAGACCTGGGCCAGTACAGTATAACGTAGCCAACCCCTTGGCCAGTGCTCCGACTCGGCATGAATCCTCGCAGAAGGTAAGGGCAGCTTGTGCCCAGTGCCATCTTGAAGATCAGCACCACCCTGAGGGTGCTTGCACCAGGACGAGCCGCACACATATACTGCTGGGCCCAGCTGAGTCTAAATTGAGTTGTAACCAGTGCAACTCCAAACACAACCCCGGGCACAGACTAGGGCACAGAGCCATGTGGGCGGGGTACATATTCCCTGTGTCAGGATCCCCTCCCACCCAGGCTGAGAAGGCCCCTGTGGGCTTCACTTGTGTGTCTCCAGGGCCCCAAGGTCACAGAGCCAGGGCTAGAGCCCTGGTCTTCTTGCTCCCAATCCAGGGTAATTTCCACGACCAGGAGACTTGCAAGACACAGCGAGATGTGTGGCCATTCCTGAGCTTTCACCCTCGTCTGTCTTTGACCCCCAGTTCCATCCTACCAAGTAAGAAAGGCGGCCATCGGTCGGGTATAAATAACTGCTGAGGACTGAAGCCCCAGAGAGGCGAAAGCCTTGGCGCCCCTGCTCAGGGCCAGGTGCTAGCTGGAGAGGAGATGCCGCTGCCCAGCCTCACCTCTTGGCCTTGGGCTGGGTCTCGCTCCCTTTCCCTTCTTCCTCTAGCCCCGGCTAAGATGCAGAAGGGACCGGCGAACACTAAGGCGCGCAAAGGCGCAGGCGACGCTGACTGCTCTGACCCCGGGCGAGCCTGCGGCCGGCGGGGGCAGGTCCAGAAGGACGCGGAGGGCGGCAGGTAAGGGCGGGGTCCTGCCGCGGGGGCTGGGCCTGGAGCTGGAACTGGGGCGGGACTGGCCCAGGAGCCGGGCGAGCGCGGGACGGGGCGGGGAGCGCGCGGAGGAGCCGAGCCGGCTAATTAGCCCCGCAGGGGCGTCGGCAAAGGCACCCACGGCCCCGCCCTTGCCACCCCAGGGTGTCCTTCGAGATCGGCAGTGCCAGCACCCGCCGACCCCTCGCCGGGCCGCGCCCAAGGACCCCGGCAAGGACGAGGTGTCCGTGGGGAGCACCTGGCATGGACAGAGCTTTGCTCGCGTGGACGTGGCCTGAATGGGACCTCCAGAACTTTCGCTCCGGCTCCAAGCCCGGCGGTGGGTGAAACCGACATCCCTCCTCAGTCTGCTAAATAAAGTTTCTATGCCCCTCCGCGTCTATTCTGTTCTTTTAAGGCACCCTAGCCCCCCTCCCGCACCCACTCACTCCCGGGGCACACCAAAGGCACCGCGCCTCGTGCAGGGCTTTATTCTACAGGCAGCAAATCCGAAATCGCTTTCTCTCAGGATCGGGCACTCCCCTTCCCAGCGGGACTGGCAGCAGCCTGGGACTCCGCCCTTCCTCGCTCGAGACGCGGGGGTCGGGCCGGGGGGTGCACACCCCGTCTGGACTCGAGCCCCACTTTCTCCCTGTGACCTCTACTCTGTATTTCCCTACTAAGGCTGCGTCTGGTCCTATTCCCAGATCGTTCCAGGTCCTAATCTTAGGTTTCAGCCTCTGCTTCTTAGACTAATTCAGACCTTCCTACTCGGTCCCTTGGACACGCCCCCATGTGTACCCCTTGGTCCCACCTCGCTCTTCTCTCGCAGCAGGAAGGGGAAGGCGTGTGAACTACAACTCCCGGCAGGCTCTGCGAGGGACTTCTCGCGAGTTGCGAGAAGACACGTGCGCGGAAGCAGCGAGCAGTAGCGAGCGGCAGAGCTGGCATAAAGGGAGCTGGTGGTAAAGGGAGCCTATGGAGGGGCGGCGAGAGGCTCCATGACGGAGGGTCCCTGGACGAAGGGCAGACTCGGAGGGCCCGCCTGGCTCTCCGCACGTTGGCTCCTGTGTGGGTCCCACAACCCCCGGCTTCGCGAGACTAGAATTATTAGACTGTCAGTGGTGGGGTTCACAGGGCCAGCAGTCAGTCTCCCGAATCCGGAGATTCAGCGCTTGTCGTCAGTGTTGGGACTCAGGGGGTTGGTAGGTTCGGTGTTCGGGACGCCTGGGAATCTGCCATTTGATTCAGGGTTCGTCACCTAGAGGTTAGTGTGAGGATGCAGGGTCAGCAAATAGAGGGGTTTTGCTAGGATATGGGGTTCATCAGATCCGGATCAGCGTTAGTTCAATACTTGGCATTCCCTATTAGGATTGGAGTTAAATATGTGAAGCTCATTGGGATTTGAAGTTCAGTACTCTGGGTTCAGGATTTAACATGTAGAGGCAGGGTGCACTATTGAGAATAAGTGGGTATGGGGTTTCGGCTCTTTGAGGATTGGGGTCTGAGAAGGGCGCCTGTCGCTGAGTGTCTAGTGTTTGAATTTGTGGCCGGAGGGCAGAAGTCTGCTATGGATCAAGTTGCAGTGTGTGAATCTCATAACTGGGGAGAATTGTTGGGTTTGAAGGCCCACTGGAATCAGGGTTGGGGTCTGAGGTGAAGGATTTGTGAGGTGTGATGTCCAGGAAGAGAGTCCCAGATTTACGTGGTGGGAGAGACCTAAATGTCACTATTTGGGGTTTGGTTGGCATGTGCGTGGGGGTCCTGATTAGGGTGTGAAATCTGAGTCTGATTTCTCTGTTGGGATTTGAAGTTTAGGGGGCCATCACCATCATGCTCAAAGCCGTGATCCTGATTGGAGGCCCTCAAAAGGGTGAGGAGTTGGGGGTTTGGGTGAGGAGGTTGGGCACTGGGGTGGTTGGTGGCATGGGGCAGATGAAGACAGGAAACTGAAGTGTGTTTTTCTGTCCTCTCCCAGGAACTCGCTTCAGGCCTTTGTCTTTTGAGGTGCCCAAACCCCTGTTTCCAGTGGCAGGGGTCCCTATGATCCAGCACCACATTGAGGCCTGTGCCCAGGTAACCTCCTAGGCTCCCCTCTTCCACCTCACTTCCTGCTCATCTCCTTTTAGCTGCATTTCCATTTTCCCCCAAGCATGACTTGTTCCCACCAGGCATAACTCCAGGAACTCCCCTTTACAAACAGCATTGTGAGAGGTGCCCCCTGGAGTTGTGCAGGGCAGCTGCCCAACTATCCTCCCCAATCTAGTCTCTTTGGCTTCACACCTATTTTTAAAGCATGTGCGATCAGATGGGAATCTTAGAGACAATTTAAAGCTGTAGCATGGGGAACCCTAATAGATAGCAAAGCACAGACCTCCTATCCTTTCTCACTCAGGAGCTCGTTTCTTTATTGCTTTTGGGATTGGGACTGGCAAGGTTTTGTATGAATCCAGTCTCTGCTGTTGGGACTTGAGCAAATTTCTCGCCCTTTCTGAATTTTAGTTTCCTTATTTGTAAACTGGGGATGATTAGACCTACTTTGTAGGATGATGAAGCTTAGAGGTGATGTTTGTAAAGTGCCTAGTCCAACATAGGCATTTGATCAATGGTACCCTTACCTCAGCCTGATCGCAAGCTCAGATTGACAGACAATAAAGATGCGGGGAAAGCATGGGTTCTCCTTTAATGCAGCCTAGTAGGCAAAATGTTCCCCCAGGGTGTTGGGTGGGGAGTGGCTGAGACTTCCTTCAACTTCCTCATTGTCCAAACGAACAAACAGACCAGAGTGAGTGCCCAGAGCCAGTCCAGCTGAGACTGACACTGATCTCTGGACTTTTGGACCATTGCCAGGTACTGCCCAGCATTGCCTTCCCTCATGTTTTTGTTTCTTCCCATCTCTTCCCTTGTCTTCAGGTCCCTGGGATGCAGGAGATTCTGCTCATTGGCTTCTATCAACCTGATGAGCCTCTTACTCGGTTCCTAGAAGCTGCCCAGCAGGAGTTTAACCTTCCAGTCAGGTGTTTGTGCACACTTGCTGTACGGGGGGCGGGGAGCAGTGCCTGAGGCTTCCTGGTTCTCAGGTGTGGATTGAGTTGCTGTGTTGAGTTGCTGTTGCCGACTTCCTCATGCACTGGGAGGGTACTTATTTGGGTATCTGAATTCCTGAATACATTGAGTTTCTCTGTGGGTCTTGGGCATAGCCCCGGGAGCAGGAGGGGTCAGATGCTCACACCCATGCTGTCTGTCTTTTCTCATCTTACTGAGCTGGCTGTGGGGTCCTGGGACAGGTACCTGCAGGAATTTGCCCCCCTGGGCACAGGCGGTGGTCTCTACCACTTCCGGGACCAGATCCTGGCTGGAAGCCCGGAGGCCTTCTTTGTGCTCAATGCTGATGTCTGCTCCGACTTCCCCCTGAATGCTATGTTGGATGCCCACAGACTCCAGCCTCACCCTTTCTTACTCCTTGGCACCACGGTGAGGAGGTCAGGAGGGCTGGGAGGGACAGAGGGGGTCTACACCCTGATCCAGTAAGGTTCCTGGAATGTAGGTTGTTGGGGAGGCAGGGGCAGCCCGGGGAGTTGGAGGTGGAAGGGGCATCAGGAGGGATATGTGCCAGAACACCAACTCCCCCCCTTCAGCCCTTGGCTGCTCCATAGTAGGGAGGGGGAAGGCAGCTGTCAGTTCTCACCCCCGCTGAAGACCTGTCAGTGGCTGAAGACCTGTCAGTGGTGGAGCTGCCTGCCAGGTGCCACAGGAGAGGGAAGGAAGAAAGAGAAAACAGACCTTGCTGCTCTGCGGCCAGCAGGTCACCGTCTGGCTGTGTCTGTCTTTCAGGCTAACAGGACGCAATCCCTCAACTATGGCTGCATCGTAGAGAATCCACAGACACATGAGGTGAGAGGAAAGCAGGGACTGGCTGAGTGTCTCCTCAGTGTCTTGCCACCCCCACCCCCTGCCTCTAGAGAATGCTCGCATGCTGTGGGGTGGGCCCCCGTATTGTCAAACAGGTGGGACCCACCCTCACTTGTTGATCTTCTGTCCCTTTTAAAGACATTGGCGGGGGCCTCCCCGGTGGCGCAGCAGTTGAGCGCTGGGTTGCGAATCTGCCCGCAGCCTCTGCAGCGCCTGTTCAATCCCCGGCTGCTCCCCGGCCACCGGAGGAGGGTCCCGCATGGCGCGCAGACCTCTCCTGCCGCCCGCTGCTCCCCTCAGCAGTGTACTTCGGTCCTTCTGCCTGCTCTGCTCCCCGCTCTGGCTCTGGTGAATTCTCTCACCCTCCCGCGCTTCTGACTATACCCAGTGCTTGTGTAAATAAATAAATAAATAAATAAATATGTTGGCGCGACAAGGGGGTGATGGTTAATTTCATGGGTGCACTGCTGCAGAGATGTATGCACAGTGAACTGTGGGAGCACAACCTGGCCAATCCAGCCTGGCCCGGGTGGGGAGGGGAGGGGAGGCAAGGCCTGGAGGGGGCCAGGTCTGCGCTGTGTTAAATTCGTCCAGATAGAGAAGGAGGCGGGAATGCATTGCGGGTAGAGCAAATGGGATGTGCTAAGGCACCGAGGCAGGAAACAGCGTCATGGGCCAGGCAGAGGCTGACGTTTGTGCGTTTGAGAAACGCCTGCCCCTGAGTATGCAGAGGGCCTTAGGGCCTCATTGCCGTGACCTGTCCCCCAGTAAACTCAGCCTCTGCCGTAGGTCCTGCACTATGTGGAGAAACCCAGCACTTTCGTCAGTGACATCATCAACTGCGGCATCTACCTCTTCTCCCCAGAAGCCCTGAAGCCCCTTCGGGACGTCTTCCAGCGTAATCAGCAGGATGGGCAACTGTGAGGCGGGCCCCATGGCCCTGTAACCCCAACTACCCCTAGTCACAGACCACCCTCCCCCACCAAGTCTCTGCAAACTCCATCTCAACCTGCTCACCTTCCTCCTCCCTCCTTTCCACTTGTCATCTCCAGCTGAGCCTCCCCAGCCCCTCCCCTTCTAACCTCATTCTGTCCCTCTTCCTTATCCATCCCAGTTCTTCCTCTGTCACCGCCTGCCCACTCCCCTTCTGGTCCATTTCTCTCAAGCCCTGAGTGTCCCAGAGATGTCTTTCAGAACAGACGGCAACACACACACTTGGGTGCACACGCCTGAATGTAGACATACACACTCATACACACACGCACTCTCTTTCTCTCACACTGAGGCTGAGGATCCCTCAGAGCCTTGCACGCCATGAGCCACAGTCCCACCCAGCTTATTGTCCTAGGCCCGGGAACTGTCCCGGAGCTGCCTTCAGCCACCCCTCCACCCAAGTCCGCCCCCCCCGCACTGCACCTCATTCACTTACTCCCACCCACATCTCTGCTTCTCTCTCCATCTTGCCTGGCCTCTCTGTCTGTTTCTGCTGAGCTGGCATCTCTACCATCTCTCTCTCCTCTCTTTCTGTGACTGTCTCTGCCCTCACCAGCTGCCTTCCTCTGGGGTGAGTCTGTCTGTGTTTCATTTCATCCAGTGAGAGGGTGGGTGACTGGAGGTGGGGTTTAGAGGAGTAGATGGGGAAGAGAAAATGAAAATGGGGGGATGACAGGTCTGGTCAGACTTCTTCTGGACCTGGGGGGGATGGGCAGCAGATCTGTGCTTGGGGGTCTCCTGGGAAAACACCCCAGCTGGGGGAGTGAGGGGTGGTGGGGGTGAGGTGATGAGGGAGCGGATCCTGGGATGTGATCTGGGAAAAGATCTGACCAGTGCTGAGAGGTATTGGGGTCCCTCCCACCTGCATCCCTGACACCGTTGGCCCCTATATCGGCCTCAGCTAGGGAACTGATGTCAGCTTGTCTTCTTCGTCTGCCAGGGAAGACTCTTCAGGCCTGTGGCCAGGGGCAGGTACCATCCGCCTGGAGCAGGATGTGTTCTCAGCCCTGGCTGGGCAGGGCCAGATTTATGTGCATCTGACTGATGGTATCTGGAGCCAGATCAAGTCTGCAGGGTATGGGGAGAGCTCTGATGGGGTGGCTGGTTCACCTAATGGTTGGGGCTTTGGAGTGGTGCACAGGCCCTGCTGGCCCCTGAGCCCCTGCTCTACTTTGTGTGGCCCCTAGCTCAGCCCTCTATGCTTCCCGCCTCTATCTGAGCCAGTACCAGCTCACTCACCCAGAACGTTTGGCCAAGCACAACCCAGGGGGTCCGCGAATCCGAGGTACCCACCTGATCCCAATTCCTAGCCTTTGTCCCCCTCCCCAGCCCTCTCTGCTCTCTGGGCCATAACTCCTGATCTCAGGTCCAGAGGTGATGTCTCAATCCCTGCCCTCCCTGAACCAGAGATGGTTTGGGGTATTTGCCCCCAGGTCCTCTCTTCTGCTTCTAGGAAACGTTTACATCCACCCAACGGCTAGGGTGGCCCCATCGGCAGTGGTAAGTGGCGGCCAGCCCCAGGGAGAGGACAGGGGCTGTCAGGACGGGCGGGGCACTGCAGACACGCACCCAGAATGCCGGTCTGCTTTGTCACTCTGTCCTGTGGCTGCAGCAGGTCCACTTGGGAATTGGATTTGGGGTTCTCCAAACCCTCCCGGGACTCACCATGCATGTTTTTCTTCACAGCTGGGCCCCAACGTCTCCATCGGAGAGGGGGTGACCGTGGGCGAGGGTGTGCGGCTCCGAGAGACCATTGTCCTCCACGGGGCCACGCTGCAGGTAGGCACTGGCACAAGAGGCAGTGGCTGGCGCCCCAAGAGGCTGAGGGGGGGTTCTGTGCTTGACCCCTCTTCACCCCTCACCTCATCCTGTTTGGCAGGAGCACACATGTGTTCTGCACAGCATTGTGGGCTGGGGAAGCACTGTGGGCCGCTGGGCCCGTGTGGAGGGTACCCCCAACGACCCCAACCCCAATGACCCCCGTGCTCATATGGACAGTGAAAGCCTCTTCAAAGATGGGAAGCTGCTGCCTGCCATCACTATCCTGGGTATGGCTTCCCGGGGGACCTGAGCAGGGAGAAACTGCCATCCGTGATGGCCATGCCCTTTGGGGCATCTGTTCCCGTGTGCATGTGTGTGCACGTGTGTGTATGTGTGGCAAACATTTACCCAGTGCCTGCTGTGTGCCAGGCCCTGTGTGAGTCATGGGGTGGGGGGCGTCACGCCAGAGAGCACAGATGGGCAGGGAGAGATCCCTCCCGGCAGGCAGTGGCCCCTGACTGCTGAGCCCTGGCCTGCCCACCCCAAGGCCTCCTCCTGGTGCCCTCGTCCATGCTACAGGCTGCCGTGTCCGGATCCCTGCTGAGGTGCTCATCCTGAACTCGATTGTTCTGCCACACAAGGAGCTGAGCCGCAGCTTCACCAACCAGATCATCCTCTGAGGGGGGCTGCCACAGGGCCCCCCAGCTCCTACTCACTCCCCTGGAGGAGACTGCCTGTGTGGTCACCTCTGTCCAGAAGGGACTGGAGGAAGCCAGGCAGGATCTTCATATGATGGGAGCGATGTGGGTGGCCCACGCCGGGCCTCTCTCTCCACTCCCTAATAAACCCCGGTGAACCTTGGAGCCAGCACGGACTCGCCTGTGCCTGGGCTGGGGTGAGGGTGGAAGGGGGGCAGCTGAGTCAGGCCCCCCCACATTAGCATTTAAATTGGAGTCGTTGCTGCGGGCTCATGAATAATGAATCTGGAGCCTGGTAAATCTCCCCCTCCCACTGCCTCAGCCTCACACACGGCTCCAGAGCAAGGCCCTCAAGGCTCCCGGCCTGCCTGGCCCCCGCCTTCGCCCCTACTGACGCTGCCTGCTTGCCCGCCTTCCTGTTCCTCTTCACTGGGCCTGGCTCAGGCTCAGAGTGGAAGGATTCCGAAGGGAAGGGTGAAGGATTTTGGTTGGGCAGTGGGGTGCGGGTGGCGGGCACGGGCCCTGGGAGCCACAGGCTCAAGATTGGCTCACCCAGAAGCCACTCTCAGTTCCTGCTGGGCCCCAGCCCTGGCCTGTTTTCCGCTTTGCCAGCTCCATCTGCTGCTAGCCCAGTTTTTGGTGAGGTGGGGGTTTCTCCCTCGAGTCTGTCTCCTACTCCCCTGGCAGGCGGGGCAGCGGGAGCTGGTGCCTCTCCAGAAACACAATGGAGCCTCTGTTGGGGAGGGGAGGGGTCCTGGCCCTGGCCACCTCCCACCACCCTGGCCCTGCCCTTTGAGAGGATGCAGTTCACTTCTCCACATTCCTGGAGCCCCAGAGGAACCCAACCACCTCTCCTGTCTGTCCATGACCCCCATGTGCCCCTCTTGGCACCCCCCCCTTCCCCAGCTGTGGGTGCGGAGCTTAGTTGCCAGATGAGCTGGTAATGATCGTAATCTGCTAATTGAGAGGAATCTAATTACCCGAAGAGAATGGGGGGGTAGGGTGTGGGTGGGAGAGAGGAGGGGGTCCTGGCAGCAGGCAGGGGTGGCAGGCAGCAGGGTGCTGGGGCCTTGTTATCTGCACCCGGGTCTGGGTCAGAGCCCAGGATCTCAGAGCTTCATCCCGGCAGCTCAGAAGACGGCGTTTCAGGAGCAGGGCTGAGGGTGACAAGGGGACTGGGCCAGATGTGACCTCCTAGCCTGTGCACGCTCTGCAGGATGAAAGCCTCCAGGATTCTAGCAGTCTTGACTACTGGGCCCCTTTCCTTGGGTCTCTGCCATCGCCTCTGGGATTGGGAGGGGCTGCTGACACCTATTCTGCACCTGGGGTCGACTCCCTGAGGAAGAGGCTAGTGGGCCTGGGGCCAGGGCCCAGGGCCCTTCCTGCTCCTCCCCCAGTCCTGACCCTTCTGTTCCGAGTGGTTGGCAGAGGCCATGGCAGCTCCATCATAAATATGATAATTTAATTATTTTCTCAGCAAAACACCGTGAAATCCAATAAGTCTGTGTCAGGCCCTGGCCCCCGGGACCCCCCTCCTAGGCCCAGTGGGGGTGGGGACATGTTGGGGAGGGGAAGGAGAAAGGGTCAGTGTTGGAAATAGGAGGGGCCAGTGACACAGATCTTTGTAACATTGCCCCCCCACCCCCTCACCCCCCACCTCCGGCTGAGGGAGTCACTGTGTGCGTGGCTGCACACATGCTGGGGGGGGTGTTCAAGGAGAGAAATTGTAATGCCCCCCTCCTCTCCACCCCTTGTCTGACCTAGGAGGGCCCTAGCGCCCCACCCACCTGAGGGCACAGCTCAGGGCCCATGATCTGGAGCTGCCTCTGGAGGGGAGAGCAGGGAGGCCCCTTCTTTCATCACCTCTGGGACCTCCTTGGCCCAGTAGGGATAGGAAGGTGCTGGCCCCAGGAGGGGTTTCAAAGCAGAGAACCCAGGGAGCTGGGGTGGGAAGTGGGGGATGTGCTGGGGGAGGGATGCGGGGGAGGGGTGCGCTCCTGCCATTAGTGCTTTTTTTGGTTTCCATAAAAAGATTATTCTGTAAAATCAGTGAGGGGGAGCGAGCTGGGGGCCGGGGTGGGGGGGTGGTGGGCGGGTCCCTGGCACCAAGCTGGATAGGGTGACTGGGGAGGAGAGCTGGGGACCGAGTGTGGAGAGAAATTTGGATGGGCTTCAGGAGCCATTGAGGGGGAGAGGCCGAGCCAAGAACACAGATTGGGGGGATGCTGGCCAGGACGAGGTGGGGTGGGGGCAGTGCCCACATCTCCCTCCAGCCCCTTTGGCAGGGCTGCCCAGGGCTCCAGTCCCACCCCATCTCCGTCCCCTCCCCCTGGCACTTAGCAGCCATTATCGGGGGAGCAGATTGCAGCCCCCTCCCCCTCTCCGGGAAGCAGGCACAGCTGGGGCCCCGCCACATCTGCCGCATCAGCACGGAGCACAGCTGGGTGTGCCCAGAGCCACGCTCCCCAAAACACAAAGGGGGCGGGCGACTGGGAGAACCCAGACCCCCGAGACAGACACACTGACACCTCTGCCAACAGACACACTTCTCTTGGCAAAGCTACACCCACCAGCACTCATGCTCCCTGTGTGCAGAGACAGGCGAACTGACAAACATGCAATTACTCTGCCCCGCCTGCCACCCCCGGTCCCCTCCCCTGCCCCTCCTTTCACCAGGCTCCCCTTGGCCACCTCCGAAGCACCCCAGGCTTTTGCTGTCCCGTGTGAAAGGGAGCACACCCCTCCGGGAAGCTTGGAGAACAGGACGGGGAGTGGTAGAGGAGTCTGGGTGTGGGGCATGAGCTTGGGGAAACTACCCGCCTAGACTCCCTGCCCATACCCCTCCCCACAAAGAAGCTCCCTCTGACTCCTCAGTCCTGGCCACCCGGGGCCTGCCCGGGGGCTGCAGCCCAGGTGGGCTGGGCACCCTGGACTTGTTCCCGAGACACCGTTCCACTGACTTCCTCAAGGGGGCGCTGTGTGCCCTCAGTCTCCAGCCGGGAGCTCAGTACCTCTCAGGGCTGGCCCCTTCCTGCCCCCCGGCCCCCCAATAATCTGCCAGTCTTCTGCCCCAGCAGTGTATCCCCCCACTCAGCTCCGGTGCCCTTGACACTTGCAGGATGTCTATGGCGGCTGTCGGGGTAGAGGAGCCCCCTCCCAGGGGGTGACTGGACTTCCTGCTTTCCCAGGCGGCGACCACCTCGGGCCCCTGGTGAAATCATGGCCCCTCTGCAGCCTTGCCCTGTCTCCCCCCACCCATCTCCTTGGTCCTGGAGTCTTGTCCTCCACCCCCTCCTCCCTCACCCCTCCCCAGGCCCACACCGCGCCGCCCCTGCCCCTCGGAGCTTTAATCCCTCCCGCTGCTGTGCCGCCTTATCTGCTCCCAGCAGCTTTCGCAGTTGCAAAGCCCTCTCCCCCTCCTTCCCTGGATCTTCCCCCCGCCCCCCTGCCTTTCCCAGCCCGCTTCTCTGCGACCTGCACACCCCCCAACCTGTCTCCGGCTCAGTGCCCCGTGATGGGTTCCTGACTGACACCAGGTTGGCACCCCAACGTCCTTTGCCCTCTCTCCAGCCTCAGCTCCCGGAGGGCCGGCGCCCACCCACTCCCACACTGGCCTCCCCTGCCCAGCCCTCCCCTGCAGGCCCCATGGACTGGGTCAGTTCTGCCCAGCCAAGGTTTTTCTGCTCTGCCCTCCCTTTCCTCGCCCCCTCCCCAGTTCTCCTGCCACCCCTCGGTGTTAGACCGGCTCCCCTTCAGCCCCATGACCTGCTGCCTGGCCTTGGGAAGGCCTGGAGGAGGCTGGAGGGTGTTGGCTCCAGGGACTCTGGAGAGGGGTCCGGCCAGGCCATGCTTGCCCTCGGATGGGGGCGGGTACAGAGGGCTGTCGGGCAGTGGGGGCTGGGCCCGCGGTGGGTCGCTAACCCTCTTCAGTCGCCGCAGATCACGTCTGGGCCTCCCCACCCCCTTCACTGGGACTCTCATTAACCGCTTCTCCTGCCTCGTCCGCGGCATAAATAACCCAGATAAATCAGCCGCCGTCCGCCCCCCGCCCCTCGGCCCCCGCACAGCCCGTTTGTCACCGCTGCTCGCTCACCAGCCAGGCCTGGCCCAGGCCGGCCTCCGCCCCCCCATCCCTGTCCCTTCCCGCCCACATCCGTCCCGCACTGGCTCATCCTTGGTCCGCACCGGAGCCAGACCTGGGGCAGGTGTCAGGGCTGGGGAGAGTGGCCAGGAGATGTCCTTCAGAACAGGGGAGCGGGGGACCATCTCTCTAGGAGAACGGGAAGAGTTCGGGGACCATGTCATTCATGAATGGGACCAGCAGGCAGGGAGTTGGGCCCACAAAGCACGGAAAGGGGCAAAGGCGGCCAGTATGGACTCCCCTATACTGGGAGAAGCAAAGCCCCAGAACCAGGGTGCAGAAGGGGCCTCAAGGGTGCCCTGGGAGCCCCCCAGCTCCATCTTGGGAGGACTGCTTTGGGGGCATTTTGCCCAAATAAAGCCTCCATGCCTCCTGCTAGGTGCTCAGTCAGAACCCTCTGCCCTCCCGCACCCTCTGCCCCCATTCGCATGCAGCGGCTGTAGAACCACTGCCTCTCCACCATCCTTCCTCGCTGTCAGGAAGCCTAGTTCAGTGCCTGGGCCGGGGGGGCCGGGGGGGGGCGGAGAATTGGACTGGGGATTAGTGTAGGGAATGGGGAGAACCGGAGTGCAAAGGCTGGTCGGCTGAGACTGCACCCACACCCCCCCAACCCCTCCCAATCCCCTACGCCTGCACCCACACTCCCAACCCTCTTTGCTCACGCTCAGCTCAGGTTCTGGCCAGCCACACCGGACCCCAAGGCTCACTGCAGGGGGCAGCTGGCCCCGGGGGAATGGGTGGGGAAAGCAGGAAGGGACTGGGGGAGCTTGGGCGCGGGGCTGGGGTGGGGGTGGGGAAGAAGCTGGGCCGGGCCCCAGGGACCAGCTGGGCAATGAGCCGGGGAAGCAGCCGGGAGGCTAAATGAGGGAGATTATCACCCAACTGCAGCCGGGCAGAGAGGGAGGCAGGCAGGGAAGCGGGAAGAGGGAGGGGGAAAAGATGGGGGCCAGAGGGGAAGGGGGTGCAGGATAGAAGGCTTGAGGGGGACAAAAGAGACTGGAGGCGTGGGGGGAAAGGCCAAGGA